TTTTACTGTGCGGTTTTCTTTACACACACACATCCCACCACCCCCCCCCCCCCTTCCTGGAGGACATAGGAGTAGTATTGCATGTGAGTACCTGGGCTTAAGTAGTTCTTAGTTCAAAGAAATATGCTTTTCATTGTACTTTAGCATTGGTTACTGTAAATATACCTCAAAACTGCAAGCTAAGTTCATTGACTTACTGTGCAATTAAGGTAAGTCTGTGTCCTTCCTAGTGCAATATGGACAACCAAATAATTGTATTTACAGGCTGCTTTATGCATTTAGAGGATTGACCTTCATGTCACTGATTTCAAGGTAAGCGGTACTTCTCACTTTTTGGTGGCCACATCTCTCCCTAGACACTTAGTCCTCGTTTTGACATGAAATTATGCTGAAGAGTAAGCAACTGAGCCATTGGACAACAGAGTTAGTGTATTTCTGGCTGTCTTAGAATGCAAGCTTGATAAACTAGTTACCTGTGCCATGTTATCTTCTACAGATAGCATTGTTTTGTTTTGTTTCTATGCTGGTAGCGTTAAGAAACAATGCTTGCCTCTCTCTGTACTGCAGGACCTGGTGGTAATTCCTACCTGCTGAATCCAGCTATGTGTCCTGGTGACATTATTTTGGGATGAAAGTTCAATCCTTGCCTTTCCTTCTGGTACACTGGGAAAGGAGAGCAAGGTGTATGGAAAAGGTTCCAGCACACTCGCAAGGGATCCCTTTTATGGCTTTCACAATGGAACAGCCTTGTGATGATCATGAAGTTTTTGTCCCAAAAATAAATATAATTAATCACTTCCGAAGTTTGCCTAGTTGCCCTTCTGGTTTCTGATGAGATATTAATGGGCCTTTTGAGGAATCATTCCTTACTGATGAGCAAATGAATGGATTTTGCAAGGTTTGCTAATGGCTGAAACTTTTATTTTACCATGATCTATGTTGAACATATATATACAGTGTTGCATTCTCTTGTCTGTAGTACCAATCTAAGTGTTTTGCAGGGACAAATCTTGAGTTAGCTAGACTTCATTTTAGAAAAGAACTTCCCTAAATTCATTGAAACTTGTTACCTTTGTCATTTATGGAAATAAATTATGCAAACCCATGTAAAATATAAAAATGTGGAATTGTTGGGTGCTGCCACATTTTACCTAGTAATGAAGGATGAGACTGTCATGCACCTGAACAAATTTTACATGTGTATTTGAATTCTACTTCTCTCCGGGCAACACTTAAATAATTGGATCCCATATAACGGGTTTTTTTGGCATGCCCAAGTTACGGCCTACAATTCAAAGTTTTGCCAGAATGATGTGTTAAAATGTGCAAAATCAGCACATAAACACGAGATAATTGTGATTTTGCTATCAAATTCCTTCATGAGTGTATTTAATTTCATTTGGGGAATCAGTTTAAACGTACCTACAAAATAATTTGTTGGCATAAGAAAACAATAAGATAGTCAAAATGTTATGTAAAGTGCTTCTGTACTTTTGATTCAGATATTTAAAATGTAAGCATATGTGATGCCCGTACTGCTACATTTAACTATATTCTGCAACCTATGTCAGTTTTCAGAAAACTCTCATACAAGCATAATAAAAGAACGTCCAAGTAAATTCTGGGATTGTCTTACTACAAAATGTGCTAAGTGCATTTGTAAAGAAAAGTTATAGTAATTATAGCGACTGCTATAATTATAGTGGTTCCAGAAAGCCTACATCATCAACACAAGATAAAATTAGGGAAGCTTCTTAGAACACAGAATTGTGATTAAATAACATATGTTCAAGGCTCATGAAGATGTGGGCACTTTTCTTTCTTTAAGGATTTGAAGAGAAGAAAGTCAGATTATAAAATTTCTGGATTCCTTAGGCATAAGTTCTTAGGAAGTTGCATGCAAGCAACACTGTCCTTGTCATGCTGGAAGACTGTAGGTAGGAGTCTTGGTAAGAATGTATGTGTCGCGTCCTTGTACTAGTTTGTGCATGGGTATGTGTGTGTGATGAACTGTTGAAACTACACGGGTAATATCCATTTAAAATGGAATTCCTGTATGGTTGCCATGACCCTTTTTTATATACCGTAATAACAAGAGTGTACATTTGTATGGGTATGAGAGGGTGAAGCTGCCATTGATCAAACTGCTATCCATCAAGTCAACACTATCAGCTTTGGAGGTTTGATGTAAGGAATGGATGGCATTGCTGGAATACTTAACTAAAAAGGTTGATAGAAATCTGTTTTTAGCAGTTGATACTCTTTTTCCACCCATCTTTATCAAGCTGTCTTTTCTTGCTTTCAGGAAACTGTAATGGATGCTAGTAGGAATTGTGTTTTATTCCCTCTTTTTCCTTCTAAATTAATTCCCACTTTTTGAACCTATTTCTTCATTTCTGTTCTTCATGCTTTCTCAAGCAGTACTATCAGGGAACTTCCTTACACTCCTTTAAAAATGTTCCTGAAGACTGACAGGTTCTGTGAACTGTTTTAGCCATAAAGAACACACCCCATATGTGTTTGTTCTGGTTTATCTTGCTCTTTGCTGCTCTACTTTTGTACTTTGTACTTTAAACTGGGGTAGGGAATATTTGTTGTATCAATATATAAATGATATCACTGAGATGAACACTGGCATGCAGAGGTTTTTTTTTTCCTTTTTTTAAAGCAGAAAATATATGCATAATGTGTATCAAAATGTGTAGCCGTAGAAGTTATTCCTGTTCTTCGGTATAATACAAAGGATACTTAAAATGTCCAATGTCACAGAAATATAGATATTTTAAAATCAGTATTTCATACACATTTTGCTCCTTTCTCTACAAGAAGCAGAAAATATTTTATGGAACTAACCAATATAACATATTACATGCAGCAGCTGTTACTCTTCCATTGTTATAGTTAAAAAGCAAAAAGTACAAAATGTTATTTCTTGGTTTATGGAAATTACAGTAACTAGGTAGAAATGCCCTATGGAAATAAGCTGATTAGTTGACTCAGGGTTAGACAGGGA